CAATCGTCAACCTACAGAATCTGGTAGATGAAAGAAAAGTCGTCCATAAAGATTCTACCCATCCTTTGGAGACTTCCTCGATACCACCGATTTACGAACAACTGAAATCCTTCATCGTTGAAGATGCAACTAGAACTGGTTTCCCAATCTCACTATTTTCTTCTGTTTCAAATGTTACTGACGTGAAGGTGAAAGAAAAGGCTTTGCTAGAATCCTTCGACAGTCTTCGTCCGTTATACCCAGAACCGATCATGCAGCTCTCTTGTTCGTACAAGTATTACTCAGCAAGTATTGAAATGGAACGTTTGAACTCGATTCAAGGCGAACTGAAGGACTTCCATAACCAGAATTTTGACTCTCAACTAAACAAGATAATTGACAGGGTTGAATACAGTTTGAAATTACTTTCTTCTCGTGATAGACCTTCACCGTCAATAACGCGAACTAGGCCTGTATTAACGCGTAACTCTCTCAAAGTTCTTGAAGAATGGTACGAGTGTCATCTGGATCATCCATATCCAACAGCTTCACAAGTAGAATGGTTAGCACAGGTTTCCAGTCTGAACACAGAACAAGTCAAGAAATGGTTCGGAAATAAAAGAAGTCGTTCCAAGAATACAAGATCCCTGACCGAAATCGCCAAGGTTAAACGAAGACAGAGACTACTGAAAAGACATTGATTAATTTGTTATTTATTGTTAATGCTTGTTATCTTATGTTTATTATTGACATTAAAATCAATTCCTGATATAATAGGTTTTTTTTCATCATTCAGTTTTGAATCGATTTAAATAACATTAAACAGAGAGACCATTCACACTGCAGTCCAAATATGTAAATGTCGATGATAGACACTTGATGGTTGTTTGTGACCTGGTGAATGACTAGGTCTGTGAAATCTTTAGCGAAATCGCTACCAACATAATCATGCTTTGTGTCTTAGTGATAGATGGGTAATTTCAAATCTATTGATCAATTTGACTATGCGTAATGAAATGCTAACACAAAATCTTATTCAAGTATGATTATGTATCAAAATTAGTCATCCATCGTTATGTTTATAATAAGAATAAGTGTTGACAGTGTTAATTATTTGAGAACTTAGTCAATTTATTGTCTTAGTAGAATTTAGCATATTTGTATGACGCTTTAGCGAAATCGCTACCCGCATAATCATGTTTTGTGTCTTAATGATAGATGGGTAATTTCAGATCTATTGATCAATTTGACTATGCGTAATGAAATACTAACACAAAATCTTATTCAAGTATGATTATGTATCAAAATTAGTCATCCATCGTTATGTTTATAATAAGAATAAGTGTTGACAGTGTTAATTATTTGAGAACTTAGTCAATTTATTGTCTTAGTAGAATTTAGCATATTTGTATGACGCTTTAGCGAAATCGCTACCAACATAATCATGTTTTGTGTCTTAATGATAGATGGGTAATTTCAGATCTATTGATCAATTTGACTATGCGTAATGAAATGCTAACACAAAATCTTATTCAAGTATGATGCAGCTTAGTGCGATGATGTTAGTTAAGGGTATTTTGATGAAAGGCCTGGAAATCAGGGCAGTTTCGCATCTATTGTCCTTTTTTACATTTTACAAACCCTTTGGAAGTCATCAGTTCTCAAAAGAGGCTGAATGAATCTGTAGCAAACTAGTTATTAACATAATAATTATGCTTGGTGTCTTTGCTAGTGATGTTGGTTAAAGTTATTTCCTTCGACAGTCTTCGTCCGTTATACCCAGAACCGATCATGCAGCTCTCTTGTTCGTACAAGTATTACTCAGCAAGTATTGAAATGGAACGTTTGAACTCGATTCAAGGCAAACTGTCTTAGTCTTAGTAGAATTTAGCATATTTGTATGACGCTTTAGCGAAATCGCTACCAACATAATCATGTTTTGTGTCTTAATGATAGATGGGTAATTTCAGATCTATTGATCAATTTGACTATGCGTAATGAAATGCTAACACAAAATCTTATTCAAGTATGATGCAGCTTAGTGCGATGATGTTAGTTAAGGGTATTTTGATGAAAGGCCTGGAAATCAGGGCAATTTCGCATCTATTGTCCTTTTTTACATTTTACAAACCCTTTGGAAGTCATCAGTTCTCAAAAGAGGCTGAATGAATCTGTAGCAAACTAGTTATTAACATAATAATTATGCTTGGTGTCTTTGCTAGTGATGTTGGTTAAAGTTATTTCGATGGGTGTCTGTTGGGTGAATACGTGTTTTTGTTCTTGACGACACCAATGAAACATAATAGAACAATATGAAACTACAAAACTAATCACTGAGTGGTTAATCATTGATTTTTAATCATCTACCTGTATTCCATTAATCATCGGGGATCAAAGATTGCGATTATTGACCGCGATGACAATCAATCAAAAACATAAATATGTTTTAATCCAGTGAATCCGATTAGTAATCATGATTGAAACATATAAATAATGATTAACTCCAGTATGACATCATATTCTCAAATTGTCACTTGGCTTTCACATAACTATCATCTTAA